CAGGGGGTGCAATGGGGAGCAGAAGGAACCACAGGTGATGTCAGAAGGCTTTTGCTGATGTCTTTTTTATGTTGTTCATTCTCTCTTGGCCTCTCTTCTCCCCTCCCCACCTTGGGACACCCTCCTCTCCCAATCCTTTATTCCTTCCACCACCCAACCTCACCCCTCACCTCCTCTCCTCCTGGACCCCCACTCTGCTCTTCCCATACCTCATGGCCCCCTCCCATATTTGTTTCTGTTTCTCCCCTTCTCCCCCTCCCTTCACAGGCCTCTAGATCTCTACCAGCTGCCATGCCCCCACCCTTTTCACTCTGTCTCTCAGTCTCAGTCTCTCTTTCTGTCTCTGTCAGTCTCTTTCTCCATCGCTGTCACTCTGTATCAGTCTCTATCTCTGTCTGTATCACTAAGTCTCTCTTGGCCTCAGTCTTAGTCTCCCCTCTGATTCTTTCTCTTCCCTTTTCTCTAATTTAGAATCAGGTGTGGGTTTGCACCTTCACTGTGTGATCTTGTGAAATGGTGGGTTCAGAACAGGCGAGGATGTGAGGATGTGGGGGAACTGGCTGGTGCTCACTTGCTGCGTGACTGCTTTTTTCCAAGAAAGCTTCTTAGGGTGCTTGTCTTGAGGTTTGCATGTGCTTCGTTTTTGACCCCTCTCATTTCCAAATGAATTTCAGGAATCCCCTGAGCTCAGCAGAAATGTGGTAAGAAGGGCCTCCTCCTGGCACTACCCCTGTGCTGTGGGTCTTTGGAATGGGGAGGTGTCTCTGGGAGTGATTTCCCAGGCTCACTAAATGGGTCAGGAAGGAAAGTAGAAAGCATGGTTCTACACGGGCAATTCCAGAATAAGAAGATCAGCACCACAAGGGCAGGGCTTTCTTCTTCATTGTTGGAAATAACCTTAGGCTGTTTTTGGGAACAGGGAAGTTTGATTTGAAAAATGATAAAATATCCATCTTAACCCTCAACAGGTACAGCTAATGCTTTGCCCATGGCAGGTGCTCAGTAAATATGAGTTAAGTGAATCTGCCTAATACTGGAGGGTATCTTTGAAAATCTCCTTTAACTTCCCATGGATGCCACTTCATTCCAGGTCTTAAGCTTGTGTTTTTACAAAGAAAGCTTTTGGTGGAATAAATAGTGTTTAGGCTTTTGGGTAACTCTTTCAGCTTTCCTTAGGTCCTCATTGCTTGCCTTTGGCCATCCGTGCAGTGGGTTTAGGAGAGCTGAGTGTTCCAGGTGGTAGTCTGCATCACACAGGTGACTGTGGCCAGTTTTAGGAGAGTAAAAAATGTACTCTTAATGCTTAGTGTAGAGTTGGGGAAGCTGTGTTTCCGCCATCCACCCTGCTGCTTGGAAGGGAGCTGGGGAGGAACAAGGTGGGCAGGTGTCAGTTGTTTCCCCTGCCTGCAACTGTCTTATCTACTCAGAGTGATCATTCTCCTGGACACTGAATTTCAATTTTTATTTTTATTTATAGTATGTGCAAGACCTTCTGGTCAAAAGTCATACATGTCCATGGTGCTCATGGTGAGTGGAAGGTGAACGTTATCACAGTTCCAGAGTTTCTCTTCTTGGGACAGATGAGATGTGGCGTAAAGAATGTGGTATCTGAGCATCCAAGGCTTTGTTTAATTTCTTAAGGCTAGGAGGAGTAATATTTTGTTTATCTTTTGAACTCTCTGATGAGATTTTTCCCCTACCTGCTAGATAGAGACTGCTAGTTACTTCCACATTTCTCTAGCAATCTTTAGGGGATTGAATCAGGGTTTCTCTATTGTCCCCTACTCATAACTGAGTGTTTGGTTTAAAACCTAGACCATAGAAACTAGGTCAGGTAGGACTGCCTCAAGCCACCTTACTATGATTGGTGTATTTTATAATAAGCTCTCTAGGGATGGGGTTCCCAACACCTCTGGGCTGGCTGGGCTTGTATGCTTCCCTTCAAAGCCCATGTTTATTTTTATATAGTGATGCCAAATAGCAGAAATGTAAAATGGGAAAGGAGGAAAATGACTCAGAAGCTTGACAATCCAGGCAGAATCATAAATATACTTTTAAAGAACTAACTCAATAAGCACAGCAGTCCTTTATTTTTTGTTTCACTGGCATTTCACTTCCCTCCTTGGAGCTCATGACTGGAGCAGTGACTTAACCAACATTAACGGAAGCTATGTGGTATAAATAAATTTGGTTCATTTCTTAATAAACCAAATAACCCCATCATTACCTAGCGTAGATGAGAAAGTTCCAGAATGAAACCTTAAAAAAACGCGTTATGTTTGGACGCCCTCATAAAGTAAATACACTTTGCCCCAAGGCTGTAGTTTTGTACCTTTTCTGTCGGGCATGGTATGAAAGGGGTAAGGCATTCTTCAACTTGAGTGTATAAGACTGTCTTAAAATCCATACAGCGTCCTCCCGTTTGGTGGACTGCTGCTGTTGACTTCTAAATGCCTAGTTGGGATTGATCAGGAGAATCAGAGTTTTCAAATGCTTAACACAGCAATGGCTGTTGGCCATGAGTGTTCTCTCTGGACATCCTTCTGCTGTCTCTCTTCCCCTCTTATCACATAAGTTCAATGAGGCTGATGCTTTACATACAAAAGGGACATGTGAGTGTGTAATTCTAAGTAACTATTTTTAAATGGTGTGATTAATTCTTTACTGCTCACATGGATGGTTTGGGAAATTCAGTGATGATGGAACCTTAATAACCCATTTTCCTATGTGTGTGCTAAAAGGATTATATAGGTTAATAGATTTCTCTAGAAATTGATTTCATCATTTATGCGCATTCTGTGAAAGATACTAATTTAAAGTTTTCTCAAAATTGGTTATTTTAATAAAATAATATAAAATAAATAAAAAAGGTTTAAACTTTCTGGCAATGCAAAAATAAGTCAGTAAATCTATAAACCAGAATTCCACAGGGTGCCTAATGGTTCACAATCTATTACCTTTCATTGCTTGGAAAAAGAGCTGTTTTGAATCCACCACTGCTCCCTACACTACGTAGGATAGTTAGTAGTAAGCCATTACTCCTAACATTCCTAGTCATTAACTAGGAAACCATTTTATCCACAGGTAGGTTTGAGATTAGATCATAGTGGATTTTTTTAAGAGAGTTGCTTTCTCACACAACTTTTTTCCTCTGAAAAAGTGTAGCATGCAAATGAGAGCTTCTTTGCCACTTCCATCTCCAAGACATGACTTTGTTTTCATGCTGGGAGAATCCCATGTTTCATTTTCCAAGGTTATAAGTTTTCCTTTTAATCTTTTCCATGCTCCCATAGTTGCTAATGGTGTTTCTTTTTGTCCGCCCCTAAAATTTAAGAATATATATAATAAATTAAGGATGGTTCTGCATTGCCTCTTATCTGACTAGCATCTGTGGGTGTCAGCTGCCAACAAGTAGCTCAAGTGTCTGGGCCACTCCTGAATGCTCACAAGCTGACACACTCTCTTCTGATAAAAGGTACCTTCAAATATGCATGTGATTTTCAATATAAATTTTGTATGCTTAAGCACTTCCTGTAAGAGAATCGCTCGACCTAATAAAGTGACTTGGCTGGGACTTATAAAAAGCTGTGTATAAGTATCACTAGAAATTATATAGCTAGCATAAATACTTCACTCTGGGCTTTGCTGAGCATTTTCAGAATGCTTCTGGCCACATTTATAAATATAGTGAAATCTGAGCTTATACCAGAGGGAAGGGTATGGGTGGGGGGAGGTGGTTAGTCAAACATGATCACCAGTCCTCCCAGGGAAATTGTAAAATAATGGCTAATCCCTAACATGGTTTCAGTGGTGACAGAGGAAGGGTTTTGTTCTTTTAGTTCTTACCTAAACAACCACCCTCATTCTGATGATACATGTGAAAATCTAAAAATCTACGTGTCTGAGTTCAGACACATCTTGCTAAGATTGTCATGTTCAAACAGAACACATATTATGTTCTCCAGAGAAGCAGTATGTCTGTGTGGACGATAAGACAACAGAAATCAAAGCATTGCCAGTCTTTTGTAGTTTAACGATCCTGTTAAACTACAAAATTTTATTCTCTTAGTACTATATAAGGTGCTAAAAATCTATATTTAAGATGACATTTGAATAGAGTGAAGTATTTATTTTATTGCATTAAAGCTATCCATTGTATTGAAAGGTTAGTCTGTAGTTGTGGTGGCAGCAGTGGTGATGGTGGTGGTGGTGGGGTGATGCTGGCAGCAGTGGCGGTGGTGGTGGCAGCGGTGGCGGTGGTGGTGGTGGCGGCGGCAGTGGTGGTGAATATTGAACCTGAGGCATGTTATGTCAAAATGCTGAAGTCCTTCTTTAAGGTCAAGAGATGACTCTCCCCTTCTGTACATTCCTTTTTATTTTGTACAACACTGAAGTTCCTGAAAACAACAAAAAAAACCATAATACACCATTTTTTCTTAATGTAGTTTCACATTTGCTATTTTATTCCACAGCTTTTAATTTTGTAATACAATGTCAGGTTTCATATAAGTGACTTGCTGTCATTAATTGATTAGAATCTGCTGTGTCAGTTCCTTTGTTCTGTCATCCTGCTTGTCTGATAGATCAGAAAGTGGAATCGTTAACAAAGTAGTCATTGAGGTAAGAGAGGGTGTTTCAGACTAATTAGTGTGGATACTAACTTTACAGTGCTGATATGATGTCAGCTTGACTACAATTTTCTAAGACTTCCTCCTTTTCATTGTCTTAATTCTGTTCTTTTAAGCCAAATCCCTTGCTACCATCATTGCATCTCCCATCATATGCAGATATATACTAGGGGTGATAGAAATCATTCAGAATTAGAAGCTGCATTCTGCATTTGACCTGATGGCTCATATACGCCCACAGCCAACACAGCTGGCAAACAGTGGTGCTTTATTTGGGGGCTGGTATAAGAGACTGTGTCCAGCGGCTGTGTGTGTCAGCTGAGGGCTGAGATTCTCATGTAATGTGGCCTCAACTCTTGTCTCCTTGCTCAGAGTGCTCACTAGAAGCTCAGCCCAAATATGTTAGAGGTGGGAAGCGTTATGGACGAAGATCATTGCCTGAGTTTCAAGAGTCCGTGGAGGAGTTTGCAGAGGTGACAGTGATTGAGCCACTAAGTGAAGAAGCACAGCCTTCACACATCCCAACCAGTGACTGCAAAGAGGTAAGAAGTTGGACAGGCACATTTATCTGGATCATGAGTGTGGATACCCACGACATGTGGCACAGAGACAGGAAAGCTGGGGGCGGGGTTGACATGAGTCAGACTTTTCTCAGTTACCAATTCCTTGCTAATTTTATTACTTGCCTTTTGGACATATATGGCTAATCATTCTATTGTTTAAATGTCTTCACCTTTGTTTCAGCCTTTAGAGAGCTGACATTTCTGTGCGTGCTTTATGTTATGCATTTTGAGTTCAGGTATTTTCATGTTATCTGGGGTCTGCTACTTGTAGCTCTTCTTGGGAATATATGTCTCCTTCATGCCAGGTCGTTTTTAGTTATTTAAAAAGCTAACCAAAAGTTCCCCTCTCCTCCATCTCAGACTATAAAACAGCATCCATGACAGGTAGGGAATGAAAGCAACATGTTCAGACATTTTGAGAGCCTGCATCCTATCTTATGTGGTGGGATAAAGCAGCTCTAACACTTGGGTTTTGCCTTGAGACACCAAGCAGGGGCACTTTCACAGTGCTTAGCAGTGGCCACAATTCTTATGAGTTCTCTCGCACCCAGGCACGTCTTGCTTTCTAGCATTCAGAGATTCACCTGCCTCCCTCAGCTCGCTTCTTTTCATTTTGCACATTTTCGTAATCTACCAATAAAGGAGAAGCAGTCACATTGTCTTTATTCTTTCTTTACGGCTCATTTACTGGCATCCCATTTATAGAACGTGATTGAAAATGCCATGCTGAGCAAGGTCTAAATGTTTCTTGCAAACCCCAGCTCAAACTGGGGCTGCAAATATTCCAGATACTAATATAAACTGGAAAAGAGACGGAGCACCTCCATTTCCTGAAAGTGGTCTGTAGATTGTAGGTTGATGGGGTGTGTGTCTTCATAGCTGTCTAAAATCTATCTTCAGCTTACTAAAATCTATAGGAAGCTTGTTCCCAATAATGTCCCCAGCAGTCAGACATGTAGCATCTTCAACTTTCCCGAATACCCACAAACTCAAAGGTAACTGGAAAGAGCCCAAATATTGAGCAGAAATGAAATTGGCAATAAGTACTGAAATGCACAAGAACACATGAATGGTCTGCCAATCAGAAGAAGTTTGTATCATTTTTTTAAAAACAAGTGATGCTTGTCCTCACACCAGAAGTGAAGGAACAGTTACAGAAATGTGAGCAACAAGAGAGGAAGAAAAGCAACTAAAAAGAGAAGAGATAGAAAGAAACCACAAAAGTGGAGTAAGAGTGGTGTGGGTAAGAAGTGACAGCTGAAAACAGAAAAAGCCACAAGGAGGGAGAAGGAAAGTACTGCCTGGAAAATCACAGTGCCAGGGAACTGGTCAGTATGGGGTAGGGGCTACTTTTCACCTTAGGTCCAGTCAGTTTCAGTGGTCACTCCCCTTTCTTGGATTCCTTTGAGAATTTTGACAGGGACCTTTCCCTAGTAAAACGCATATTCAATGCACAAAAGTTTCACATATACAATTTCAGTGAGGCAAGTAATTTGCATACTTCCATTAGTGCCATGTTCATATTATTTATCTTGCTATCAGGAAGAGCATCGTTTTATTACATAAAGTCTGTTTTATAACCCTGAGTAATGTAGAATGTATTTGAGACACTTCTCTATTGAAAAGTGACTTAAATGTCTCAACATTTTAGGAGGTAAGTTTTGTTGTTTGGAAAACATTTTTAAGTCTAATATCTCATTTCCCCAACTATTTCCAGTACCTAAGGTATTATTATTTGGTTCTAATAAATTAAATGCTTACCTATTTTTTGATATGATAGTTTCTAGTCATCACCTGGGGACACCCAGAAAGTTTTTGGGCAGAGCTGACTTTGTTGCTGGCAACATATTTCTTATATCCTTGTTATATCTTATCTACTGATGCCCAGTGAGATTTACTGTTTAAAAAGTGAGACTTTGGTTTCATGTATAAATAAAGATAAAAGTTGAGGCCTGAGCCTGGGCAAATTCTTGCAGCTTGTGTCTTAGCAAAAGGATATATTGGGAGAATCATTTCACCCTGATGTGCTACAGCTTCCTTTAACTCCTCCAGAAACCTCTTAGATATGACCTCTTGATGCTATATACAGAAGCTGTAATGTTCACCACCCTCCATCAATAGAACTGCAAACGGAGGCCTGAAGAGGGTCATTTCTCAGGATTTCTGTTGTCTGTGAGGACTCCTACTGACTCGACTTTGATAGTCTGTTATATTCTGTACCAGGACACCTACAGAATACCAGATAACACCTTTTCATCTTTCTTTTTTTATTGCCAAAAGTGGACTCAAACCAAAGCTCAGCAAACTGCTTTCTTGCCTAAAGATGAAGTGTTTTATAAGCTGAATTGAGTCTATCAGTTTTCAAATCATTTAATCTCTTCTTAAAATTAATAGCTTCACATGTGGTGTTTTTGATGCTCCTGATGGCAATTAAAAAGGCAAATCAGCTTTGTGCAGCAACCATGGTTGTAGATCACACTCACTGCCTTCAGTAACGCAGAGTCTGGTGGTTAGCTTTATCAGTGTGTCAGTCTTCTTTGGTACCATTGTGTCAAGATAGCATTCCTGTTTCCTGCCAGTTTCTGTATGAGCCTCAACAAATATGGGCCACTCAGTTGGCCAGTCCATGTGTGGAGCAGCATGGGCTTGCTCTAGAAAACCCTGTCCCTTCTAAGTGTTAGGTCTCTTAGGAGACTCAGGTAAGAAGACTGTTCTAAAGTAAGAAGAAAAAAATCTCAGTAACCTATGAAATTTATTTACTCTTATAAGGAGTTCTGAATCTGTCAAGAGGTCTTTATTGTAAACTGTTGGCTTCTTTTTTCTCCCTTTTGGTTGCTTGAGGCCTTCTGTCTCCTGTCTTTGGAGCTATTGAGAATTTATTCCTTGAGTTTATGATTCCTCTCAGTGCCACTGGGCAGAATTGAAGGAGGGAGTGGGGCTTGGTCTCCCCTGACATGAATGTTTTGTAAGGAGTAGTCAGATGGGGAGCTAGAGACAGGCCTTCTTAGTTTAGAGTGTGGGTTTCCTTTGATTCCAGGATCCTGGCTTAGGGGAAGGTGATATTTGTAGCTTGCCTTTGGACTTCAGTTTCTATTGCTCTCAGACATGCCTGATTTTTCCTTAAGTGACTTTAGAATTTTTTGATGAAGACAATAAAAGGTTCTGAATCTGCTGTCTCTGTTAAATGGAGAGGACATCTGGCTATTGCCCCCCAGCAGGAGACTAACTTGAGCTCTAGGTTGAATCAAATAATTTTATTTATCTGAGGACTTGTGGAGGGGTGGACAGTGGAATGGAACAGTGTCACAAGCACCTATAAAAGCTGTCCCCAGGGTGGCTCGCTTCCTTGTAGGAAATCATCCTATAGGGATAAGTGAGCAAATGGTCATCTGAAAAGACAAAATAATAATTACTGTCCCTTTTCCCTCTGGGGTTATTTCATGGTAGGGGAGATTTCTACAGGTTGACAAGAAGTCATTCCTAGGCTCCTGGGTTAGTGGTTCACAGTGTTTTTTCTGCATCCTTATTTGGGAAGCTTTCTCCCATAAACATAACCAAAATTATAGGTAATTCTCAGTAGCCGTGATTCTCTGCAGTCTGCCTATAACTCCACCTTTTCTCTCCCACTCAGGAAAACATCTAGAAATGCAGGTAACTGAAAGTGAAGCTATTGTAGAGATTGCTTTCAAGCTACTCTAAACTTATATTTAATGTAAATGCCATGTGAAGCCTCAGGCTTTGTTAGTTACAGGCGACGGGGAGCGCATCTGGTGATGATTCACTGTGCATGATCACGATGTGGTGCTGTGGGTGAGAGCCCACATTGTTACTGTGGGGTAGCAAGTGTTCTCCCACCTTGGCCTTAACCTCTGAATAGAATGTATGAGAATAAACCTCAATACAATGAGGTGTTTTTGATCATGTTTGACTTTCGTTTCAGTTCATGTATGTTAAAGCCCCAACATAAATTGTAAACATTTTAATAGTTTCCATCCTATCTCTTCCCCCTGCCCCATGCTTTTATCAGGCAATTTGATTCTTTCCTGCTGAAACAGAACATATCTAACCTAGCTATTAAGCATGTCTCTCATACCAAGTTTAGTTTACAAGTCAGTAAAGCCATTCTATAGGGAGAGACTACTGCATTCTTGCAAAATTTTCAGCACTATAATGTTTATTTCAGAATTTCATTTGGAAACACTAAAGCAGAATGTGCTAATTCACAGGTGACAGGTAGTTCCCACCATCAGGCTGTGGTGTGTGTTCGCTTTCCAATTTTAATGTGTTTATCTGGCAAATGGATTCCTTGGGAGTCTGATCTCTGGTGGTGTTGAACGTAAAGTGGTGATTTTTCTTTTTTCATAGCATCATTTTAACTCAGGTCAATTCAACTGGACATTCTATTCTGAATTAATGAAGACTAACAAAAGACACATTCTAGATGTGATTAATGAGAAGTTTTTGGTTATCGCTGTTTTTGCTTTACTTCATCAGGCAACAGAGTTAGATTTTAGGTTCAGGAGAGTAAACTTTTTTCCCTTTTATATACAACAACTACTGAACTGACCTCGAATTTTATGCTCATGTTTCCTCTGAGTGTAGGTGGAGAGGAAAACAAAACAAAACGAATTGTCAGTTCTATTCTCTGTTACTCAGATCTGGTAGGAAAGGCTGCGCAATTAATACAATTGGGACAGGGCCACTTTGCTTTCTGCTTTGGTTGAAAACAGGGGACACCTTGTTAACTGTTTTCCTCCATAGGGAATAAAGTGGGTCTAGTAAGATTCTTATCAAGAGCAAGGGGCTTTAAACAATTATTTCTTCAACTGTAGACAATAGTAGTGTAAGCCAAAACCATTGGCTTGCACATTACAGTTTAAGTGAGAACCTGAGGGAAAAGATAAAGCCAATTGCTACATTCACCCAAGAATGGACAAACAAATCCAGTCTCCATGTTAGGACTGTGTGGGTAGGAGAAT